GGGAGCTCAGCCCTCCTGGCTGCCAGCAGGCCGAGGGGTGCAGCCAGCTGACAACAGCACTGCTAGCAGAGGTGTTGGTTTTGCTTCGATTCACTGCTGCATCAGCAGCCGCTGGTGGCACCGACCTTGCTGAGGTGGTCAAAATGCTGCAAGATCAGCTGTCCTAATGCCAGACACAGCCTCTCGTGGACTGATGCCTGCTTTCAAGGATTAAAGATGGAAAATAAATTAATAAATAAATAATAAAAAAGCCAAGATTATGTACGCTAACAGAGTATCATCACTGCCTTTCTGAAGCAAACTTAGTATGTTAGAAGCAGACCACAACCACGAGGTAAGGAGCAGGTCTGTCTCCCAAAGCAATAAGGGACTGCTATTTCATTGTGAATTTCCTCGAGGGGTGGAAAATTGTAACTGCATCATGTACCACAATAAACCACCAGAAATAAGCATAAACTCTCTCTAAGGCTCAGCAGCCATCAATGTCCATGATCTTTGGCTGTTAATATTGTCGTGACACGCAGCAGCAACGGCTGCTTTGTGAAGGGCAAGCCAAGGAGAACTGCAGGTCAGGAACATGGCAGAGTCTGAGATTGAAGAGAAATTCAGATCTGTCAGGTTGGCAGCACGCAATTCACAGAGGACGTGGAGGGCTCCTTGCAACTATTTAATTTAATAGACAATAAGCAAAGGCGTATTTGGATTACTTTACAAGTAGAAAGAATATGTTTTAAAAGTCAGTCTGATGAAAGGTCTGCTGCTTCTGTAATTTCAGTACTCAGAAGGTCACATTACAGGAAAGCCAGTGCTTCTACAGGCACCGACAGAGGTGAGTGTGAAGTAGCTGTTACTGTACACCTAGTCTCTGTGCTACAGAGAGCAACTGTACCACCAGCACCCTTTAGAAATGTGCATCCCCCTCCATCACACATTAGATTAAAATTCAAGCAGTCCCCATCAATACCTTGGGGATTGCAGGACCAGCCCCAAATTTCTAACAGCAAAAGCCACATATGACACAAAGTGTTGGCCCTTAAATTTCACAGGCATTTTTATCTTTTTCTGCAATGTAGTGAAAGACATTTTCTGTCTTGCTTGCACATCACAGACAATGTTCAGCAGAGGTGATGCCTTCCAGCACTGGCAGGGATGGGGATATCTGACCTGCTGTGATTCCCAGCCACCAACCCAGTCTTGCCTTAGCCATTTTTTTCAGCCCAGCCATTTTTTTCAAACTTCTACCAAGAAAAGAGAAAGAAGTTACCTCTTCAGAGTGCAACAACAGTTTCTACATACTGATCCATACAATGAAATGCTGAAAATCCCAAGAATCAAAGCCTGAAGGACACTTCAATACTGTGTTTGCATTTGCTTTACAGCCAGCTCCTACTGCTTGGTGAGATACTTTGCAGTAGGCACTACAGCAATCCCAAGCACTACTGAAAACTGCCTGGAGAGCTTCCTTAAGGGACTGTCAGACTGAAAATCTGAGGACAAAACATAGAGTAGTGGTACAAGCAGTGATGGTTTGCCCAAACCTGCAGCAAGGCTTCTGCTCCGTGCTGCTGTCAGCCAGGCACATTCTGGCTTCTTCCAAGGGAAGGTCCACTTTGGAAAATTGCATCTCCTGGACAAGGTGCTACACAGTAGGCAGAAACTGTGGTGGCCTAATTATTGTAGAGATGGCTGGTGGCAAAGAGCACCTTTGCCAAAAAAGCACATGCTGTTTCCTCTAACAGGGCAGGAACTTTACTGAACCTCCTGCTTTTGAGATTTCTGGCCTCAGCAGAGCAAAGACGCTAGACAGCGGGAGAGACAATGTGAGGAAAGGACTCTCAGCAGCATCTGTGTGATAAATCTGATTTCTTTCACTACCCTGTTGCCAGCCACACAGTTCACAGCTGTGGTGCAGGACCTGGTGCCACCTGCATCACACTCCTGCCACCATCTTCCTGATGGCCACTGGAAATGGGCCAAGTCCTTCCCAAAGCCTGCCTGTGGTACCCCTGGCACCCCACAACCCCCACACCACGGCCAGCAGTGGGGAGCACAGGCCCGGCGGGTGCAGCACCGGGGCACGGCAGGCAGCGAACCGCCCCGGCTCTGCTCTGCACCCTGGGGCCGGCAGCGCTGCGCCTGCGGAGCAGCCAGGGGCGAGTCCTGCCCTCCAGCTCCTCTGGCGGGTTTCCTTTGCTAACCACTGATGATCTTGCAATTTGTTATCAACAACCTGCTGCTTCACCAGCATCACAGGGGGCTGTGCTGGCAGGGTGCTGTTAGGAATATCGAGTACCTCATTCCCTCTGCAAATCCAGCTCTGCAGCAGAGACTTCTCAGCAATAGGAGTTGCTGAGAAGTACATCTCTAAGTGTTTAACCAGGCTAACATCAGCAAACAGCTTTTAGGAGGATTAAGGATCTTTGAACTTACTCTATGGAGAATTTCAAGCCTTGGAATTTTACTCCTAAGGTTGTATTAATTCATACAAAACTTCATATAAATCTCACAGATAGATTTAGGAATGACAATTCAATTTTTAGTTATTTCAGGGATTACCTTTTATAGAAAGCAATAAAAACATATATGGAGGTTGCTAGATCCTTCAGCTACATTAAGGAAACAGTTGTACTGAATACTGGCTGTGCTTAGGAAAAGACCATTCCTACTCCAAAATACTCACCATCTAAGAACATCAGATAGAAAACAATACACCAAACCAGCTTATATTTAGCATATTAACTCGAAAGATTGTGTATTAACTAATCCTTTAAAGTATCTGACCTTGTTCAACAGTAATTTATGAAATAATTTTAATAAATTAAAAGTTAATGCAAACTGTGACCATGCATAAGCATAAATAGAAGCAGTTTTGTAACGTGCTGTTACCAGACATCTCAGTAGGCAGCCATGAAGACAGGGAAACAGCTACATTGAGCTCAGATATTAAAGAGAAGGCCAAAGAATTGTGCGAAGAGGAAAACAGAATCTTAATTATGGCAAGAGTTTTGAAATTACTGGTGTGTGAGACCTCCCAAGGAAAAGGGATTAACTGCCGAGTACCCCCGCTCGCCAACCAAGACGCCCGTTCTCCAAATACTGGGGATTCAGCTCTGCAGTCTCTTATTTGCTATTAGATATATTGAAGCTACAATTAAACCACCAGCCTAATTTATCATACAATAAACTTTGCCAGTCGTGAATGAACAGATTGCCCTATTGCACATTTCAGCTATCTTTTAGAGATTATCAATAATAATGTTATTAATTGCTAAATCCAAGGACACAAAGAAAGAATAAAAAGGCAAGAGCCAGATTCCCCTACTGGTTTTTGTTTAGCTACAGCTCTAGACCACACTAAAATAAAGCCATCTCCAGTCTATACACAGAGTGGTCCCAGCTCACCAGGATCCTATGGAAAATAATCCCTGCTGGGGGAATGGAGACAAGTCCCTTTAGCCTCAGAGCTGCTTCCTCCATAGACCAACTCACCAGCTCTCAGGTGACCAGAGACACCCAGTTTTGGTGTAAAGACCTCAAGAGATAGAGAGCCTGCTATGGCCCAGAGAGAACTGCAGTGCTGGTTAATCACAGCCAGTCATAAAGACCTGTGTCTTATTTCTAGTCTGAGTTTGTCAGGTTTTAGCTTTCACTGATTGGCTTTTGCTAGACTTTATTTCTGCTAGATTAAAAGAGCTGTTAAAAGATGTTTTTATTTCTATCTGCCAGCTCTGCAAACCTCTCCAAGGCTCTGACAGTTGAGCCAAGTTTCTCCTGGGGGTGGGGGAAAGCATGAGCTCCAAATAATAGACTTCATATGTTAAAGTTAATCTTCAGTGACACCTGTGCAAGCAAAATGCCTTCAAATGAATTGCTAAAATATAATTGACTGGCCAAGCAATTGGAAACAACTGCACTGAAGATGCAGGCAGAGATGACTCCAGCTCACTATTCCCACTGCTCCACATCTACAGCAGCAGCCGAGCCAAAACATTACAGACTGGTTTTGTATCACTCGGACATCAGGGAAAGGCCTCCTTGAAAAGATCATGTCTTCTGAAAAGCATTCCTCTAACATGCCAACGTATCCAGCCCCCCAGCGGAGAGCTGATCCACAGCCCCCGAGGACGAGGATGTGGCTGGTCCCTGGGGTGGAGGTGCGGCTGCAGCCGAGGGGATGGCACAGGGCAGGCCCCAGAGACCCCACAGCCGGCTTGGCCCTCGGCTGCCAGCAGATAAACCATGCTGATCAGAGCATCACAGAACCACTTAGGTTGGAAAAGACCCATCGGATCATCACGCCCAGCCACCACTAACACCACCATTAAGCCCTGTCCCCGGCCCTTCCTGGCGTGCCCATGCCGGGGGAGCAGTCAGGCCCCGTGCCCCCCGCTCACCGTGCTCCCCCCCCACCTGCAGCCACGTAAGCACCAAACAGAGCAAACCTCTTCCCTCTGACTCTGTGATTTCCAGGTACTCATGCAGAAACGTGCAGCGTAGCCAATTATTTTCTGCTTGTGCCACTGTGAAATGGTCCGTTCAATTGACAATTTGACCAGAAAAAACAAGCAAGGCGCGTCCTGCCCTCCCCGTGCCTTTGAGAGCAGGCTCACGCTACGCACAGAGCTCTCCCGCAGCAGGGAGAAGAGAGCCTTTGAACAGAGCAAAGTGCTACCCACACCTAGAAGAAATCTTAATTGGATATAAGAAAAGATTTTGTGTATTCCGTGTAGAGGAGACTAAGCCACTTAGAAAAGGATCAAACAAATCCTCTGAAGTGGGCCAGTATCATTTGATCAGCACTTGGTGTCTTCAGATCGAGAAGAGATTTTCTCTTTTTTTTTTTTTTTTTTCAGTTTGAGGAGATGCTGTGCTCAAACCACAGACGGTTGGAGCCTGTTGTGTCTGCCCACACAAGAGGAGCGCGTTACCCGCTCTACAGCAGTCACCTGCCCGCTCCCCAGCCCAGGACGCGGGTGCAGCCCTGAGCCTCAGCAGGAGAAGCACTGCGTGTCTGGCCAGGCCGAGTTTGTCAGCAGCCCTCGCTGCCAGGCCTTTGTATTCCAGTGCTATTTGCCAAGACTTCTGGTATGAGATGGGCTCCCTTGTGCTGAATGCAGCAGGCATATGAATACCCGTGTAAAGCATGGTCTGCCTGCAAAGTGTCTTGATTAAAAATTAAAAAAGAATAAAATTAAAAAGTGACAGTGGAGGTCTTTTACTGCTTCTGCTCATTAGTGGAAATAGGAAAGCCAAGGAAATTGAGTTTGTCCGATGAGTCAGGTGCTCTTCCTCTGCCTCAGATCACAAGACCAGGTTTCCCCTGCACCCTGTTCTGCAGTCCCACAATCTCGCAGCACTGGTGGCAGTACAGGGAGGCCAGGGGCTCTGAGAAGGCTATAGGCAGCACACAGCCCTGCAGAGAGGGTGAACACCAAAATATATAGAGCTCTGGGCAATGCTCAGGAAGATACTAAAGTTTCCCTGTGAGTTATCTGCACCAGTACTTCACCAAAGATGTACTTGTTTTCTTGTTAAGAAGACTGATGAGAATAAAAGAATAAAGTAATTGGAGAAAAATATTTCTCCTTTTCTCTCTCCCAGCTGCACTTCTGTATCCATGCTTTCGGAACTGATCTTGTCTTCCACTCACCAGCACAGAAATGGTTTGAGACAAAACACATCTGCGCAGCCCCGTGGTCGGCTCCGCAGCACGTGCGCTGCTCTGCAGGAGAGTGGCGCTTAGCGAGCGGTGCCAGTGCAGTGCTGCTGGGAGCGGGGTGCTGGGCTTCCTGAGCGAGCATCCCTGTAGAAGCGACCTGCCACAGCCATTCCCTGCCAGCAGTACCTTCTCAGCCTTTGAAGCTTTTAAGGATGTGCAGTCCCTTTGGCTCTGCCCTATTTCAGCTGGCAGAGATTGCCAAGCCACATGGGACATTTTCCCCACGCAGAGCAAAGGAGAGAGCTTTGTTCTGCCCCACAGACACACGTGAGCCCGGGCATCAGCAGATGCTGCAGAGCTCAGGGATGGAGAAGTGCTGATAAGGGCGTGGGGGGGTCTCTGGGGAGACCGGGTGTCACCGCCACTGCCTGCAAGGAGAGGGGTGTCCTGTGAAGCCTCCCGTGGTGGGGACACTGCTGATAGCTGTGAGGGGGTCAACATTCCCAGGACAAGCCTGCAGCCAGACCCTGATGCGCTCTACGAGCCTCTCTCAGGATGCTTTACTTGTTGAAGAATGACTCTGAGAGGTTTGGCCCTTCTTCCATGGGGTGAGCAGCCAGGTGGGTGCAGAGATGCCCTGCAGTGGGGTGAGGCACGTGGGCGCATTGCTGCACATCTCATTCCTGCAGCGTCAGAAGAGGTGCACTGCTCTGAAAAGAGATGCTTGTGCGGCCAGTGAGAGCAGTCCTGAGGCAAAGACAAAGTCAGAGGGAAGAGAGCTGGTGATATCACTGCGAGTTAGTCATGGAAGGGGTGGAGGGGACGCAGCCAATCTCGCTAGTACCATCAGGGTAACAGGGACGAGCCCAGAGCTGGGGTAAATGTACTTCTTCAATGGAAAAGGGAAGCCCTATTAATGTTAGGAAGGATTACCAAGGGCCTCCAGAACAGAAAGAGCAAGGCCAGGCAGGGGTTTCATTCCCTCTCTGTGCAATGCGCCATGCCAAGGCCCCAGTAAATCAGGTATTTGTAAGAAGCACTCCGGTGTGGGTGTCTGTGCTGCACAGCTGTTACGCTGGAGCATTATGCTGATAGTTGTGTCTGGCATGCTCTTCCAAGAAAGAAAGGAGGACACGTTTCTGTGTATACACTTGAAATGCAAGCCACAGCTTCAGAGCAGCACTCTGGGGTCTCCTCTGCTGAAACGCTTATATGAAAAGCAATCCAGCACTGGGCTTTCTCTGAAAGTGCATTCACTGAGGAGAGTGCCTCATTTACGAGTCAGCTGGAGACCAGGTTCCTGTGTACAGATACACTGAGCTCAGAGGCTGCTTCTTTATAATGGCACTGCACCAGGCACAGGTGATTTTCTTTTCTTTCCTTCTTTTTGTACTGGACAATCTGTCTCTTCTTACTAATCTTAAAAACAAAAATTGAACAGAAATTGATCCTTCACTCACAGGAGTATTAAAGTCACACTTTTCCAAGCATTATTCTGGTATGAACCTGCCAAATGGCCTTAGCAGCACTGAATCATAGTGCCAATCCTGCCAAAAGTGGGCAGAAATCTTTTAAATTGCTGATTTATTATTGTTTCACCTGTGCTTTAGCTAATACACATCTGAAAATTAAGAAAGTTTCTTTTACATTATATCTGAAAATAAATCATTTTTGCTAGCTCTTTTCTCCATATGCCCAAAGACGCCTGCAGGGCAATGTCTGTTTCATGTATTTTAATTTTGCTGTGAATGTTATAAATATTACAAACTCCCCTTTAAAGAAATGAAATACTTCAGCACTGAATTTTCTTTCACCAGGAAGGTCACAGCGCAGCACAGCCAGGGAATCAGCAGAAGGGTGCTCCGAGCAGCTACGTGCCAGCAGCACCCCCAGACACCGCTTCTCCCGTGCCCCAGTCATTTCTCTGCCTCAGCCTCCCCCAGTTCTGGCCAAGCTATGCTCAGAGGTACAAAGCCAAAGAAGCAATGTCAGTTTGCACCAGAAATACATGCAGAATGCAATCTCAGCACTTTCCCTTTAGAGGCACATTCAGCTTTTGCCCCCGGGCATTAGCAGGTTCACAGCAATATCAAGCAATGGGCTGCTGCTGGATCCCCCGGACAGACTGCAACATGGATCGAGCTGAGCAGGGGCTGATGTGTACAAAGGACAACTGCCAGGATCTTTTTTTTTTTTAAATCATGTCAGCTTGTACAGCGTCATTTCCAGATAATCATAACAAGTCCCAGCCATTGCCTATCAGTTCTCAATGCAATTAATGAGTCTGTCCCATGGCATTAGCAAATTAATAAGAACACATCAGCTGTCGGCTGAGCTGCAGTCGGTGCCAGGAGCCATGCTCGGGTACCTGCAGCTCAGCCTGCTCCTCCTGCTCCTGGCCTGGCCCTGCCACAGGTCTGCTCCTTCCAGCTGCTCAGCACAGGGGCACCTCCAACAGCTCGCACCAAGCACCCTCCTGAGCTGGGAAAAGCTGTGTGTGTCTGTGTAGCAACGTCTGCAGATGAACAAGGGTTTGCTATGAGCACAGAGACCAGGGAGTCCCTCTGCAGCTAAGAGCAGTTCTGGCAGCACAGGATAAATCTGGTGTAGCATGTAAGATTTGGGATCTACCCTCTGAGAGCAGCTATTTGTGAGAAACCGGTGCTTTGCCAGAGCAGGGATGCAGATTTGGCTGGGTGACCACACGACTCCAGGTGCTGCAGCCAGAGCATGAGGGCACTGTGGGGGTGCTTGGGGCCAGGGTTCTGGCAAGCTGAGCAGGATGCAATGGGGAACCACCTCCTGGCACACTGCAGTGCCCAAGCAATGAGAAAGGGGAGCAATGGGACTCGCCACGTGCAGGCTGGCATCTTGCCACTCGTCTGCCCACTCCCCTCACTCATGCTGGAGGCAGCTCCAGCCTCCGTGTGCACAGCAGCTCACTGAGCAGGTGCATGAGGACAGCAGTACATTGTGCAGCAAGCCCATGGGCTGAGCCCTTCTCTGCATGTGTGTGGGGCAGGAAGGAGCCCGGACAGACACAGGAGCTCTCATCACCTGCACTGGCAGCTGGGGAACCCTCTGCAGCCTGGCCCTGCGCTTCTTCAGCAGGGGAGTCAGTAAGCGAAGTGCTGGGTCAGAAGCAATTATTCCCAGACCGATCCCATCCCATCTTCTTGGAGGTTTTATGCCCACTGCTATGGCTGCTGGGAAGTGTAACATGACGTGAGTTTTGCCCCCATTTAAATGTATTAGCTCTCCTTCTTGGAAGCAGAACTCTGTTGTTCCTCAGATCCCACCGTGTTTGACTCACCGTGCTGTCTCTTCTGCTCTTGACAGATACAAACTGTGCAGATCCATATGTCAAGCAGTTTGATGCAGTCTGATCACAGGTTTTACATCAATATGAGTGGAAAGTTGTAAAGGATTTGCAAAACATCAGTTCTGTGACTGCGTCTGTTCCTTGTATGTACTTTACTTTACATCTGTTTTACTAGCAAAAAGTCTTAAAAAAAAAAAAAACAGAACAAAAGAAAACCTCAAATGAAAAGACAATTTTCCTAAACTTGTAGTTTTTACAGAAGTTAACATAAGTCAAATTATGAGAATGATCCTTCATATCCTTAATGTTTTCTATATTTTAAATTCTTTTTTTCACTGAAATGCCAACAAGGGGGGGGAGGGGGTGGAAATTCAGTGAACAAGTATGCCCCCAGAAGAAAGTACAGCTGTCACACTGAGCTCTGTAAGTCTCATTTTCTATGTTTAGGTATTCCACATGTGTATAATCATGTAAACATGATTGCTTTCATATGACTGCAAAATAATCCTGGTGAATGGATTGCAAATATGAAGCAAAGCTACTATGGATTGAACATAATTGCCAATGGAAATGATACATTCTTCTCCCTTATCAGAGTACTGTGGCAGCACAGCTCTGCAGCTGTCTCATTGTGCCTTGTCCCTGCATGACTGTCTCATCCTGCCACTGTTTAACTTCCTGAGCTCAAAACATTAATCCAGCAATTAGGAAATAAGGAGTTACTTTTCTACCAAGAGAAGTGCTGAAGACAAGCCCCACTCCAGGCAGATGACACAGTAATGATAACTATTGCCTTACATTAGAAGAAACAAAGGAGGAATGCCAAGATATTAAACACAGGACTTTGCAATAAGAAATTCTGGCAGATTATCTCCACTGAACAGTCATTTTCCATGTCTAAAAATCTCAGTCATTTCAAATGACAGCTGAGAGTTTTCTCTATAATGAATTCAAGGACAATTAGTTGGAATCATCCAATGAAACCTAAGATACCTCAGAGGAAGTGTTATGACTTGCCATAAAAATATATACACTTCATTTGTTATACTCAAAATCTTGTTACAGGCAAACAGGAGCGCACATCCAAGGTGCCAAGAATTTATTGCTGGTCTAATTAATGTTTTACCAGCCTAATCGAAATATGAGAACCAGTTATTATTAGTCCAGCTACAACAGCACTAACACCTACATTCCAAATTATCTAATTATTATTTTTTTAAATCGTTAAAAATACAGCTACATTATTGCTAGGTGAGCTCCCCAGCGCCTGGCTGTGCCCCTGCCCTGGCCCACAGGACCCAGGGCTGCTGGCACCCCTGGGTGGCCACTTCCCATTGCCACTCATTGCAGGGTCACAGATGCTGACCCTACCTGGCAGAGCTCCTTGATAGCACTGGCAAGTAATTAACAAAAAGCAAGTTAAGCTAAAGCCAAAGCAAATTCAGGCAGCGGCCACCTAACCATCAGACAGTCGCTGTCCCACTGAAAACAAGCTCATCGTCTTGCACCATGGAAAGCCCATGCAAGGCTGGGACCACACCGACTTGTCAGTACAGAGCCCGCAGCTCTAATTTTAGATTTGCTATTGCCAGAGTAATGAGAGATCGGTTACTTATTTTTATGAAGAAAAACGTCAGGAAAAGCCATTACAAAATACTGAGAAAATATAGGGGAAGAAAGAGGCAACTGGAGAGGCAGGAGGGTACCCAGGACCCAGAGCATGCACCTCCTCTCCAACACGGTTTTGCTAGAATCAGATGCATGATCCATGCAGGACCAGCTGTGTGCAGCCAGTGGTAGGGACAGATGCTTTCCATCCCTCCGGTCAGTCTGTTCCTTAGGAATAACCACGCCAGATACAATTGGCCCTGTGGCTTCGGGCATGAGCCCTGGTCCCAGGAGGGTGCACGCAGGAGCTGCCAGGCTGCTGTTCTCCCCAGCCTCGGCTCAGCACTGAGCACTTGTCCCTTGTCCTCTATCACTGCCCAGAAATGAGCAAACACCCAGTGCGAACAGACACAGGGCTTGGGAAGGGACAGATAAAGGCTGGCATGGTAACTTGTGGGCATTAGCCAGCACGCTGCCTGCGGGGATTTAGTCACCATTAGTGGCATGCGGTGTTTAAAATAACCAGCCAGGTTCTCATGAAGGCTCTCACATTGCCACTTCAGACTGCAATGTTTTATCATATGCATACAGCTAATTGCTGGACCAATTAAGATTTTTCTTTGATTTAATAATCTTCTCATCACAATATACTCAGAATCTTGGCCCAACTGTTTTGGCAGCAGCATTTCAAAGAACACACCCTGTGCACGCCAGCTTGTCATACCCAACGCAAAGCCTTGGAGCAGGGGCTCAGAGGAAAGCCCCCCTGCCAGCTGCACACCCAGCCTGGAGCTGCCCACAAGCTCAGACTGAGCGTATAAATGTAAGCTTTTATCCTTTAAGAAATTTCTGTGGTAGTGTTGGTAGGAAACCAACTGGATGTAAATTTTGTATTCAGTGTTTTTTCTTCTCCAAAATAACTCCAAAGGGATAACTAAGTTACTTCCCATTCCAGCTTGGAGCTGTGGCTCTCTCAGATGTCACACAGACACATTTGCCTACTTGTGTTTTTTTCACCCCTCCAAAGGTCAGGTAACATTTATATTCAAAGGTTGCTCCTGGGCAGTTGGCTGTGAGCAGGCTGGTCCCTGCCGCAGACGGGCCGGATGGGGGACGTGGCGGTGCCTGCAGCAGGTCGGGCACACGGCGGTCACAGCGAGCCCTGGCTGAGCACGGTGCAGGCCAGGCGTCTCACACAACCCGGCAGGCACAGCTGCCTCTCTTCCAGCCCCTGTTGTTCAGCTCCAACAATCTGAGCCCCACTGCCTCTTCCTGGCCCCAGCCCGCCACGGGCCCCTGCTCTCCTTGTCACACACCACAAACGCCCATGGCATGTTCAGCAGCACCACCAGCTCCCAGCCAGAGGCCTGCAGGGGCTGCATGAAGTACAGAGGACAAATCTAACACCCACAGTGTTTTGTCTCTCCCATCCATCACCATTTTTGCCAAGCTCAAGTCTCCTACCAGAGGCTGTGCTGGGGGAAATCTCACTTCAGCTTAGTCAAAACACTGAAGTCAGAAGCCTGCACATGAAAAAGCACTGCCGTGGTGATTTATTTGCTTAACACATATTGATGGGAAACATGTATTTGCAATGACTTTGGTATCAGTGAGAGCAACAGGGTGAAACCTCAGAGAACTGAACTCAAGGCTCCAGCCAACAAAGGGAGTGGAAAGAAGCAGATTCTTGTAAAACAAAATACAAATGAGCCAGTTACCCTGCTTTTGAAATAACTTGTATCATTGTCAAGGGAAGGCTCCAAGGACCTTTGCTAAAATACACGAACTGCTTCTCATGTAAATCTCCATTTTTTCACTGCCTCATTGATTTTGAAAAGGGTTCAAAGATGGATAATGTGAAGACCCATTTAAAGCAGAGGAAGATACACCAAATAAGAAAAACTAAATGATCGGGGGGGGAGGGAGGAGATGAGGAGGGGGATTGAAAGAGAGCTGCTAAAGATGGCAATTTATTTTTTTTCCACATCAAATAGTTATATTCACCATACAGATAACCTGGAAGAGCAGAAACACCAGGTCCTCCCGCTTACTCTATTATTTCTTAAATACAGTTATTGCTTCAAACAGGTTCACAGCTGGGGAGAAGGGAGAAAGGCTTGATATGAATAGCAGCAGGATGAGCAGTAGCCTATTTAATGGCAATTATCAGTAAAAAAGGACCAAGCGAGAAACCCTGGCTTGGTCTGCAGGCTGTCCCCAAAGGCTCACTCTGAAGCCCGTAGGCGGTGGGCAGCAGGTTAGCCAGCAGGGGCTCCTGCTGTGGTGGTGATCCTGCACATTAACCCTCCTCTATCTGATGCGTGGGAACTCTGTAAGTCTCAGAGGCACCTTGCCTGGGGCCAGGCTCAGCACATGCTGCAAGGCACAGCCGGCCCTCACCATCACCCACTGAGGTGAGATGCTGTTTGCTTGGGTAGGACTTCAGCAGGACGACAGGAGCAGCACTGAGGTTGCCCTCTCACCACATCAGGTGGCTCACTTGTCTTAACCAAAGCATCGAGCTACTCAGCAGTGTGCAAATATTCCCCAACCATCAGGGAGGACAGAACCACACATTTCTTGTAGAAGCTCTACCTCAGTTCTCCACCTCCACCACCCAGCCCCCTTGAAGCATCAGTCCCTGTCTGAAACCTGACATGAATTTGCCTGGACCAAGGATGGAATGGACTTGGCTATTCTACCATGCAGGGATGGAAGCTACCAGAAAGACAGAAAACCTTGTTCCAGCCCTAGCTCCACATTAAAAATCCCAACATACAATCCGCTACACATCTCCCATCAGCTCCGCTCAGTTCTCCCAGTGACATCGATTTTACTTTTCTGAAGGCACCGCAGAGTGCTGGGCCCTGCTCTGCCCCAGGTGGGGGCTTTCACCAAGTCCCACCCAAGCAGCCCAGCTCCTGCTGCAAGCCCCACACAGACACAGCCCCACTGCAGGGCCAGGTGCCCAGGCAGGTGGATGGCACCGAGCCCAGGCGCTGCCAGAGCTCAGGGTGCTTCCCAGGGGCTGCAGAGACAGGGAAACTCCAGGGATCGCTCCTGGCCAGCAGCGGAGAGCTCAATAAAACAGACACCCCGGTAACACCGTAGGGAGATGTGCGGAAGGAAGACTCCCCAACAGAGCTCCTGCCCGGCACTCACTGCCCTGCACACACTGCCCAGTGCTCAGCATTGCTGTGAACGGCAACAAGCACTGTGACAGCCACCAGCATGGCTTCATGCTACAAACACTTTATCTAAAGCAGAAGGAAAGTGAAGAATTGTAAATGGCTTTTGATAAGATCCCCACAAGAGCCTATTAAGGATGCTTAATTTTGCTCCTCAGTCATTATTGACATAAGAGCCAAATAGAAAGAATGATTAAGATGACAGCAAATATTTCCCAAGTGGAACAGACACATCCTGAACAGCAGCTGAGGAACAAAGCACAGCAAATGAACACTGGTTCATAGGCTCCTGCACAAAGTGCAAGTGCGACACGAAGCTCCCGTGTGTGCACAGCTTGGTGCCACTCTGCCACGCCAAAACCAACTCCTCAGTGTGACTGAATGACCCCATCGACCCAACAACCTTTAAACTGGAACAGCCACACAGATCAGAACCAGCCAGGTTATGACTTCTCTCAGAAAGTTTACCAGCGGAACATCAACGGCACTCATCATCAGCAATGGTTCAGTTATGTTTAAAAAGGGGGCCCCACATCTCACACCCTGTTTTTGTAAAACTGTTTCCTTATGTCACTGTCAGCACCTTCCGATCAATCCCAAAGTGACATACTGTGGTTGGAACTGTGAAACGTAACAGGAAAGTCTTTCACCAAAGGTAATGTGTGCTCTACACATGTTCAGTAACGGGATTATTTGGCAGTGGGGTTTCTTGTTTTACCAGTCTGTAAATGCCTACTTGTATAAATTTGCCTTCTAAAGAAAACCGCCAATTGTCTCAGTGGCTGAACTCCTCTTTTCCGTACTTACCTCAGAAGGGATTGCTGGTGTGACTCAAGACACCTCTAGGGAACTTTGTAGGTGGCACAGCGGGATGAGAGACTTCATCCACTGACTCACTTCTCGCTCTGCGTGCTGTGCAGAAAAGCTGCTTAATAGCAGCAAAGACGAGAGCAACAGGTTCATGTAGAAAGAGCAGGAGAGTTCCTTGGTTCGTTCTGTTTCCTTCCAGAATTAGATTTCCATTTAGAAGTACCCTTCTCACCACAGAAGGACAGACTATCAGGAGACTGCCCCAGAGGCAGCCGCTGAATCCCCAGCCCCGCTGGACCGGCAGCCCCCCAGAGAAGCTGCCTGTGCCCTCCCAGCTCAGGCAGTTCCCAGCTCTGCTCCAGACACTGTACACTCTGCACACCCACTGCTTGTTTCCCTATCCATCATAGACACAAGGCAGACATTTCCTGTCCTTTCTGATTCTCAGTGGTTTTTTGTTTGTTTGTTTTTTAAGGGCATTACCGTACATCAAAGCCCTGTGTCCGAAGGTGTCACTTCTGAGTGATGCGTAACCCAAGCATCAAATCCCTCGCTCTGTTCTGAGACACCCCACCCTCCGCAGCCTGCTGACCACCCCACGCCTCTCCCGGGGCAGGCACAGCAGCCAGACCAGCAGCCCAAGAAGGCTCTTCAGCCCTCGGGGGGGGTGGGAAAGAAATCCATGCACACACTGTGAGCCTGAAGGGCCGGTGGGCTGTGCCCTCACCCTGCTGCATACAGGGACCCAGCAACAGACCTGCATCTCCTCATCATGCCCAGCAGCACACAGACCCCACTCTTTGCTCAGGTGTGGTTAGCTCTGCAGCCCTGTTTGTGCAGATCAGAGACACTCCATCTAGGAATCAGGCAAAGCTTTCACAAACAGCTCCTAGAAATCCATCGTCCCTTCTTTTCTCTATCATAACCCCGGCACACACTCCATGGCTTTTTGCACAGTTTAGCTGATGTCAGTTCTGTGTTGGGGAGGTCACCCTCTTTAGGAAGGGATGCAGAACTGTCTATGACCGCTCACCCCACCGCAGGGCATGAGACCTGGATATTGACCTCTGCACAACGCAGGGGCAGCAGCTGAGCATCCAGCAAGCAGCCGGATCCTGCCAGACAAGGGCAGGGCTTCCCTCCACGGAGCCTTGCCCCGGAGGCGAAGGGCTGTGTTGTGCCAGCCGCTGTCGGTGCTCCAGGAAAGCAGCAGCAAAGCCCCCACATTCCTCCAGCACAAAAATATCTCTGTGTGGGCTGAGCCGTGTGAACGCTCCCATCCTAACCAGCATCTGCGCCGTCACGAAAGGCAAATGAGACGTAAAAATAGCGCTCTGCTCTTGCTGCTGCTCCACGGCCGGGCAGGAGGGCTGTGTGCGGGTGCCAGGCTGTGGCACGGCCAGGGGAAGGCGGCCCCGCACCCGGCCCCATCCTGCTGCCGCCGTGCCTGAGCTGCACCAGGCATTGGTGTTCTCAGGCAGGACTGTGGGCAGAACGCAGGGGGGATGGGGAGCTGTGTTCCAAAAGGCTTCAGATCTGGCATGCCATTGCTGCTCATAGGCTGAGTGCTGAGCCTGCACACAACACCTTTGTGCTACAGCAGCGAGACCAAGGAACAGACAAAGGCAAACCCTTTACCCAAGCACGCATGCAACCCCCTCTTCTGCAAGTCTGCCTCCCATGCTACCCTATTCCATTTTGACCAGCCCAGCATAAGGACATCACCCAAATACATCAAGAGCCATTTCTTTCACCAGGACACTGCTGGCATGGCCAGACCCCATGGGGCAGTACCAGTGCCCTGGGACAGGGCTGGATGCGGCTCCAAGGGCCTCCCGCAGCTCCCAGCCCTGAGGCTGCTTCTCCCCAGGTCAGGAGCCGGGTGGGCAGCCAGAGGCCCTCCTGCGCCTCCAGGCTTCCCCACTCCTCACAGCATTTGCTGTAGCACAGAGCCGGTACTGGGGACACTGAACAGGCAAGGGCCCCCAGAAGGCCCTTTGTGGCACTTGTAGGTGAGGTGTGGCACGAGTCCCATCCTGGGAGAGGCACAGGAGCAAGCATCTGCCCCAGTGCTGGGCTCACACTTCCACCCCCAAGCACCAAGAACTGCTGGCAGTATTTGCCCTGCACCATGCAAACGTTAAACAGCATTTCATAAACTCCATCTGCCACCATGCAACATCAGCTTCTGCTGCTGTTTACTTCGAGAGGTGAAGGTAGAACATTCAGCAGCTGGATGGGTTTTGTGACACAAAAATGCAGAAAGAGCAAAGCAGAATAAGGTGTGACTCACCCAACACAAGTGACAAGATGTGCCGGCTGTGCCAGGACCAGCAGCAGTCAGAGGGGACAATCCTGCCTCAGCCCTCCCCCACACTCAGAAGGTCAAGATTTTGCTGCTGTGTGGGCAGAAGAAAGGAAATCTGAGTCAGTATGGCTGCACAAAGCCCAGTCAGCTGCTGCAGCTCTGGAGAGGGGGTGTCCGTGTGTGTGCTCGCTTTTGCCGTTTCTTTCAGCTTGATGCCTGGACCCAGGTAGCCTGGCCAAGCAGTGTGGTTTACTGTTTCCAGAGCACACAGCACAGAGGTACATGCACCATCGCATTTCCCAGACCACAGAGAACTAGAGTCAGAAGAGCCCAGGTTGGAAGAGACCCCCGAGGACCATGGAGTCCAGCTCCAGGTTCCACATGGGACCACTCAGGGACCCCTGCGAGCGTTGCCCAGGCACTTCCTGAGCTGCACCCAGCCGGCGTGGTGCCACAACCCATGCGGACCCAAAGAAGCTCAGCAGCTCTCAGGCTCCCCCCAGCTCAGCTCCTGCACACCCCGTACCCAGGCAGGATGCGGAACCAAGCTAAAGACCATTTTTATTTTTTTTTTTGTAATATACTTATTTTTATTCTAGACCTTAGCAAGATATAAGCACATTTATTTTGATTTTAAAAGGTCTGATTGATAGTCTAGATTAACCCATATCTAGATTTCTGATAATTTTAAATTGTAATGCCAGGCACCAGAGCCGTGACTTGTCCAGGGTGATTTGTATTGAACCTTCATAGCACCACAATAGGGAACTATTCTCTTCTATGTGATTGTTTCTGAATGTTTTCATCTACCAAGTTCTCCCTTCAGTATCAAAAATACAGATCACTTGTGTTCTAACGTATTTGGGGATGAAGTTTGCAAGGTACAACTATGGAGCCAAACTGCACCAAAAAACAATAACCCATTACTGCAAGAGATGACCTTCAGCTCCTCACCTGCACCACATTTTTAGAAGATCTACACTTCAAATGCTTGACTGGTAAGCACTAGAATGGGATTGATGACCTGCCATTACCTGCAGCAGCAGGAGCACAGCCTCTGCCACCAGCAGCAGAGAACCAAGAGGTCTCTTCAGAGACACTGCCTGTCCCACTGCCCCCCTCCTCTGCATGTTTCCAGCCAGCCTTTGCCATAGAGATAGCGTGCACAGTGCTGGTATCAGTTGTGCTGTGCTCCAGTCACAGGCACAGCCTCGGCCACAGCCCCACATAGCACTGTGCTGATGCTGCACATGCCCAGCAGACCCAGGCGCTTTGTGCAGCACTAGTGAACAGTAACAGCTTTCCCCTTGGAGCCTCCTCAGCACCCTATCACACAATCAATTCTTGGCATCATAAACAGAAGTCACAGCCCTTGCAGCAGGCAGCATTAGCTGAGAGGCCAGTGCTGTACCCACACACTTTGTTGGTGCAGCACTGTCCACACCTCCTCTAACTGCTGCACTGAGCCTGTCGTTGATTTGGTGAATTCCTCTTACATCTAAATCACTCGATGTGTTGTTCTTCCAGTGCCACCTGACAACGTTTGTTCCTAACTGCTGACACACTGCGGGAGGGGACCAGGAGAACTCACCCAATGCCACAGGCAGCTAGGACAGACAGGCACGCATCCACTCTCCTCTGCAGAGCCAGAGCATCACAGGCCCTTGTCCCTTGGGTGAGGCTCTGCACACTTAATAATGCTGCCTCTATCTCCAACAAAGAAACAGAATCAGTTTTAGCTCTTCTATATTGCAGGGATTTTTTTTTAGGTTCAGTTTATTGCAATGTGTCAGAAGTGCTGGGTGCAATTTGTACCCTGCTGTATCACTTTGAAGTATAACCTGCATCTTCACATACGAACTAGACTAGTTATTTGTTCATTTAATGTTATGGGGTAATAGGGAAAGAAAGGAAACATGTGCACTCCATCTTTCTATTACATCAGCAAAATATACAAATATATTTCAACCTCATTTAAAATGCATCAAAATTCAACAGTTACACACCATATTATCCAGCACAAATAACAGGAACTACAACACTGCATATTCTAAAATAGCAGTCCTCACAGTTGTGCTTTATAGCACAGTTATTCACCAGAGGACTCTGTAATTGTGGTATGTCAAATATATTCACTATTTAATGACTGCAAAAGTTTCACAGCATGCAGCTGGCAAGATACTGTGGAGCACACTGTATTGAACTGCTGTGAGAGGGCTCTGTCAGGTCAGTCTGAACCCCAGATTAGATCTTATAAAAGTAAAAACCGCTCTGAGAAAGCTACCACCTTTTTTTTTTTGTCCTTTAAGAATGTTTCTTTTTTTAAAGTATTCACAAAATCAACATTCTTCGGAGTGCTTGCATTCCACTAATACAGTTGGCTTCAACCTGGATAATGCTAGCTGCTCACGTTCGATTATAAAGCTTCTCTGGTTTCAGTGAACTGCACAACAAATAATATTCCTGCAGGAAGAGAAGCCTTCCTTTCCCTTTCCCTCTGCCTGGGCTGTGAGTGGTGCAGGTTTCAGCAGGTCGCACATGGGCTGTGCGTGCAGAGCGCTGCACACCTGGGCACGCCGTGCAGCCACCCCACCTGGGGAGCAGCACCCTCCTGGAAGGAACCCAGCAGTGTGATTGCACTTCTGATTAGATGCAGCCAACATTCAGCAGGTGTGAGAGGAATTCTGTCCCCCCTAGACTAGAGCTAACAAATAAATCTGCCAGCCTGGAACCCTTTTCCCTGCTGCACCATCCCAGCGCACTGCCATCCCCCACCCACACAGAGGTGGAAAAGCAGTATGAGATCAGAGGGTGAAAAGCAACAAGGACACAGGAAACAAATCCCTCACTCCCTCTCTGTTACAGCCAAGAACACTGCAAACAGAGGTTGGCTGGCCAGGGAATGCAGAAGGCTTCAGGAGTCCCTTCTAGAACTGAATGCTAATTGGAAGCAAAAAAAAAAAAAAAAAAAAGAAAGAAAGCAGCCTTAGACCAACCCATCTAGCAGGGAAACTGAGCCCAACTAACCTGAGGATAAAATCCTGGAAGGCTGAGCTGTTCTTGTACAACAGCTCCCAGTTCTGTGAAACACCTGAAGCAGCCACATACGCGCACAAAGAAGCCTTGATGCCAGCACACAAAGCCACATTGCAATGGGTCTTTAGCTTCCCGCAACCCATTAACCCCCCACAAACCCAGCAGTGCTGTACAACCGGGATTCAAGGGAGTCCTACCGCCAGCAGCCATACTTATGGGGAGCACAGAAGAGATAAAAAGCTTTGAGGGGACCACCCAGAGCACTGACCTGTGCTGGCTTTCCTGCCTGTCCTTGCAGCACAGCACCACTGGCAGCTACTCTCAGGCTGAGGCTTCTTCCCTGCCCCTAGCACCCCACCTCCCCCCCGCTTCCCGTATCTCTCCAAACCTCCAGGCAGGGGCTGGGGGAGCACAGTCCCTCCCACAGTAAGGGAAGGGCAGGTCTGGGACCTCTGGAAGCAACTGAGCAGCTACAAGTCGGCAGGGCCCAATGCCATGCATCCCAGGGTCCCAAGGGAATTGGCTGATGGAGCTGCCAAGCCTCTCTCCTTCCTGTTTGAAAAGTCCTGGCAGTCAGGGGAAGTCTCCGGTGGCTGAAAAAAGGGAAACATCACTCCTACCTTTAGAAGAGGTAGAAAGCAGGACCCAGGAGCTACAGAGCAGTGAGCCTCACCTCTGTGCCTGGGAGGGTCATGGAGCAGATCCTCCTGGAAGCAATGTCAAGGCACATGCAGGACAAGGAGGTGATCCGAGACACCCAGCACAGCTTCACCAAGGGCAAATCCTGCCTGAGCAACCTGGTGGCCTTCTGTGATGGGGTGACTGCATCAGTTGACAAGGGAAGACCAACGAATGTCATCTACCTGGACTCCTGTAAGGCCTTTGACGTGGTCCCACACGACATCCTGATCTCCAAATTGGAGAGAGGTGAATTCAAAGGGTGAACCATTCAGTGGATAAGGATCAGCTTGAAGTTTGCACCCAGAGAGTGGTGGTCAATGGCTCCATGTCCGGGTAGAGGCTGGTAACAAGTGGTGTCCCTCAGGAGCCTGTCTTAGGACCAGTGCTTTTCAGTATCTTCATCAAATATAGATGATGGGATCCCACCTCCCCAAAAACACTCCAGCACAACACCCCTGCCAACCTTCCCAACCCCAGCAGTGCTAGCTTTATACCAGCTGACAGGCTGGTTCACAGGCTGGGAGATCAGGCAGCTGGCTCCTTTTATCCTTATTTCTCCAGCTGCAACAGGCACTGCTCATCGGCTGGTGCTGGGCTTCATCCCCCTAAACCCATCACACCTGAGCCTGCAGTGAAAATGTGTCTGTAATGTCTGCTCACTGGGGCTGTCGGCCTCTTCCCTCTGGGGTGACAGGGCAGGGCACGCTGCATGCGCTGTGTGCTGTGTGCTCTGTGCTGTGCTGTGCTGTGCTGCCATGCCAGGGCTTGGCTTCACCCGCTCGCAGTGCCCTTGCACCTGCTGCCCAAGGAACACGGGGGTTTGGCCATAGCCTGACTCCCTTGACCAGCGACCTTCAGACAGCTCGCAGAGACAGAAGGATGCACTGGTGTTACCTGGCAGTCGCAAGCACCTTGATTCACCTCCTCTCGTGGTGAGCTGCGGGCGCAGGCTGCAGAGTGGTCACACAAAAGCTGCAAAGCGGTGTCACGGCCACGCACAATGACAAGCCAATGTGAGAAAACTCTTAGTGGTATGCTTGCCCGCTCAAGAAAACTGCAAAACTGCCAGCTGAAAATTTGAAATACATTGTGTGGATAGAGGTGATTGAAAGGAGACCCGGGGTAAGAATGGGCTGATACACTAACAAATACATTTTCCACGGGACAAAAGAGGTCACATTTTGAAAATGCTTTTCCTTTGAAGCACGATTCCCAGTGATCATTCAGACACAAGGCAGTGCCGCAGGCTGACATAACAGCACTGCGTATCTCTGCTTAGTGCCTCTACGAGTGCCCTGCTTTGTCCGTGTCCTTCTGGGGTTGCCCTCACATTGCACCTGCTGTGTCCCCACAGCTTTTGGAAACAACAGGCAGGGGACCTTGCTGCGTCCCCCGAGGGGCAGAAACTGCTGTTCCCCAAGGGCAGCTCAGTCCCTTGGTTTGCAGGTATCTGTGTCACTTCACATCCTGGGAGGTGAACACTGAAGTGAAGTGAACAGAGAACAAAAGGAACAGCAGAACTGCTACTTGTAGTCCAGGCCACCCCGTGGCCCTGCGCTGACTCCCAGACACAGCCCCAGGCGGGACAGAGCCCCGGGGTCTTTCCCCAGCCCCTGCTCTGCATGAGGCCGGCGCTGGGCTCAGGCCAGGCTGCTCAGGGTGTTCCTCCATCAGCTCCCCAAAACCTCCAGGATGGAGATCCCCCAGCCCCTCCAGGCCCCACACCACGGCCTGGGACAGGGGAAGGTTTCTCCCCATGTCCAGCCCCGCACACCCCAGCTTCATTGTGTGCCCCCCTGTAAGCATCTGCCCAGACGGTGCGGGACCACGCGCTGCCTGCCTCTCCCACGCCTTTCCCCCAGAGCCCAGGGACAAGGTGCTAACACACAAGAAGCTGTTTGTCTCACACACACTCAGGAGAGATACGGTGCCAGCAGTGAATTACCCACTGCAGTCACATTTGTCCTCCAAGACAGTGGCAGGAGGAGATTGGTCCGGGCACAGATTAGATTCAATGTGTTTTAAAATTCAGTTGGATTTTAGGACTTTAAAGGTCAGACAATTTTTTAGGGATGAATACTCCTAAATAATGAAGACGAATATTAGACTACTTAGAAAAGAATGGCTGTTTAAGAGCTGTATAATTACTGTCATTTAGAAGCATGAGCATAGATACAGCAATGGATATTATAATGTGAAATAATTCCAAAGGCCTGTGTTATTTCTAATATAACTGGAAAAAGGGGTTGCGAGGTCATTAGTCTACAGTGAAATGTCTGCATCAAGGCGGGTGACAGCAGTGTGTTGACTTCCTCCTTGTCTCACACATTTTTGCTGTCTTACAGCCTCCTTGGGAGCCTATTTGACATTCATCATCCACTGGCTTGTGTTAAAGCTGAACCAGTCCACCTCAAACATCGTATGTATAAGACGGTTTATAGAAAAAAATCCCAGAAAGCAAGTGGTAACTTGAAAGGTGGCCCATGGCTCAAGGATTAAGGGTTTCTCTGCTGGCCCCAGAACTGCCAGGGCAGGAGCTGGGGGCACACCACCTTCTGACACACGTACAGCCGAGAGCATGCACCCTGCGCCCCATAACGTGTGTGCAGCTGCATCCCGGGGGCTCCTCCAAGGAACCAGCTGCTGGGGTGCTTGCAGCTTCCTTGTGCTGGTGGAAGGCTGGTGCCGCCTCTCTCAAAGTGGTGGCAGTGGTGGTGGCAGTGTGACTGTACACATTTTTGGCCAGTGTGCAAAATCACTACGTTCATTGTGCTTCAGAACAGCAAAACGAACACAGGTATGACTCCTGATACTGATATGCTGGTAGGAAGATACCTAGGGTAGAAAAAAGTTATCTGTGTTATGAAGCAATATTAGCAAAAAAGAACTGGTGCAAGTTGTCAGCAAATAAAAATGTCTGATAAATGTCTTGGAAAGATCCCTCAGGAGGATTTGCAGAGAGGAGAGGTCTAACTAGGCTTTGGGCAGGGCCTGATTCATTTATTGGCAAGATTATGTGAGGCTGTACTCTGCAATGGGAAAGGACTGGACTGCACATTGCAGACAGCATCCCCAGTCCTCCTCATCCCGACAGCCAGACTGTTTCTATGTTTACTTTCCACTGCTTTAATTTCCAGTAGGCTTTTTTTTATTATAGATAAATTTCTGATCTGTCACTGTCCATCCTGTGGAGCCGGTGTCCCCCCACGGGCAGATGCCGTATCCTGCACAGGACCACCTGCAGCAGCCTGGCACACGCAGACCCCATCCAACGAGGTGGGAGTGGGCCGGGGGCTGGCAGCAGCTGCCTGGTGCCTGTCTGTGGCCCGTGGACAGCGCGTCCTCTCCTGGGGCCTTACGGTGAGACCCCGGGGTAAGGAGTGCCAGGAGCTCTGGCAACAGCAGCTGGAGCACATCACCACCACGTCTTCTCTCCCGCTGGCTTTTGTTCGTGGGTTTTCTGCACCACCACTGGAGAGCAGCCCTGGGGTGACAGCGGTCAGCAGTGCTTGGCAGGAGCAGGCACTCAGCGCAGGGCCCCTGGCAGGGGGCTGCAGGGCAGGGACAGCACGGAAGGCAGCGGAGGAACGGAGCGGGGACACCTGCTTGTCCCCACACACCGGGAGGGACTGGGGCCGCAGACAGCTTGTGGAGGTGCACAAGGAGCAAACTGCAGAGCTCACAGAACAAACTCTCCAAATCAGTGAGGGAGGAAAACATTTACTAATATCAAAGTAACCAGTACTTAGCTGTTTCTTTGGCAGTTTTCCACACGCCAGGCAAACGGCACACGTCCACCATCCACCGGCACTGGACATGTGAACAAACTGGGCAGTTATTTCAGATTTCTGTGGAAGTGACCCTGAAATCCCAGAGCTGGAGTAGCAATCAGAAGGCTGGCTTGCAGCACACGTATCCTGCTTGGTGCATGTCCACCTGCCCCGATGGAAACATCCCAGAGGAGTGGAGTCCGTGCTGAGCTGGGGCCAGGCCACCCTGTGCTGGATGGACAACCTGGAAGGGCTGCCTGAGGTGCCTCCGTGGCCTAGTGAAGCTTTCAGGAGACTTAAAAGCAAACAAACAAACAAAGACCAAGCATGTTGTTTGAAGTGCCTGTTAAACTCAGTCTTGTTTAATACTGTGTCCTTGACACCCATGGCTAGTGTCTGGGTGCACGCCTCCTCAGTCCTGCATGCCTGGTACGGAGATCTGTGAAGATGACTCTCATTAAAGCAAGAGGACAAGCAGGCTTAGAGAGAACGGGCTGTTAGTGCTGGGGTCACTGCTCTGCTGGGGTAGCCTGGGACCCTGCTTACTGACGGCTGAAAGACGCTACAGGAACAGGTCTCCTTGCGGTCCTCCTCGTGCAGTGAGGTCAGGGCGATGCTCCAAGAATACTTTGCAGCCAGGATACAGCCTCCCTCCCTCTCTAAAGCATGGGGAAAGGGCACTCCAGCAATTCCCACTCCTGGAACGGCAAGAGAAGGCATTCCCAGGTACAACAGCCACAGTTCCAGTTCCCTGCTGGGCAGCAGTGCGTTCATCAGTAACTCCGTAGTGCTTCATCACAGCTGAGCAGGACAAGAGCTGTCCCGGTGTCCCTCGGTTGCAGTAAGCACACGACAAGGCAATTCTCTCCTGCCAGCAGCAGAGAGAACAGAAAGGCCTGTGCTAATTTGGGATTACAGCTTGGGGCGTTAGTGAGTGATGTTTGCATCAGATATGGAAGATGGAAATGTAAATCCCCACTGCAGATCTAGTCAAATCTGGGCTTTCTGCTTCCCAGGAACCAATCCTCTATGGGCTGCTCGAGGGTTTCATTTTTCTCTGAAAACAAGTTTTTTCTTCATTTATTTTTCTCCCACTGGAAAAACAAAACAAAACAAAACAAAAAAGACACAACTGAAACAGAACAAGATCATGGTAAGTCTGCATACTTCTGTGGGAACAAAGTTGAATCAGAAGTTTCCCAAGTAGCTGTCCTTGGTGCAGCACAGGACCGCCAGAGCAACAGCAGCCCACAGGCTGCACAGCCCGGCTGCCTCTTGCTGGGACACCCGGGGCACAGGGTGTGCATGGGGGTGCTGCTGGTCACAGTGTACAGAGGTGCTGCTGGTCACAGTGTGCATGGAGGTGCCGCTGGTCACGGTGTGCATGGAGCTGCAGCTGGTCATGGTGTGCATGGGGGTGCTGCTGGTCACGGTGTGCATGGGGGTGCTGCTGGTCACGGTGTGCATGGGGGTGCCGCTGGTCACACTGCCAGCACCTGGGCTGCCCGCAGCCTCCACCACCGGTGCGCCCTGGGGGTCTGTATCCTTGTCTGTCTTTCTCTCCACCGGTTCCCACTGCCTCCTTGTCACCTACAGACATGTCCTGAGCTTTCTCAACCTGTTAAGAAAAGCACTTCCCAGTGTTAATCCATTCACCTGCTGTGGTGAGCAGCAGCGGTGGCTGCGAGCTGCTGCCCACTGAGCGCTGCCCGGCCCCAAGCTGGTGGAGCTGAGG